TCAGATCATTTATTGGATGAGAAAAAAAAAAACAGTGTGTATATATATATATATATATATATATATATGAATATGAATATACTTTTTGGTAGTTTTTTTGGTTTTGTAATATGACATCAGTGATGTCTTTATTGTACAGAGCTAAGAAATCTTGATTTCTCAAGAGTTTAAATAGCCATTTATTTTTCTGGTCCTTCAGATATTTAATATCCTTTATGTCTTTAGTGATATACAGTTAAACCTAAATGCTGGAGCAGAGAGCCGTGGTCTCTTACTGTACTCATCCCAACACCTGCATCTTTAAGTTTTACTGTCTCACGCAGAAGTTGCTGCCACCGAAACTGCATTTTTCATTGTTGTTTTAGGATTTTTCATGTATGTTTGTTTGTTTAAAAAATTGGTACTTTTTTCAGTGTTTACACCACCCGCGATAGACTAAGCCTTGGGAAATGTAGCATTTTGTATATCAGGAAACTGGCTTTTGTAATTGAAAATAGTGATTGGAGCAAAAGTCTTACATGTTTAAACAAAGAGCACTTCTAGTCGCTGAAATGTTTTGCTGTCTTTTTTTTTTTAAGGAATCCTTGAGGTATCCACGTTTTTTATTATCCAAATGGGGTTTGGATCTCATTATTGGTTGGTGTTACTTAGGATGTTTTAAGTGTAAGCTTTAATAACTCAATTTATTGTGGTAGTCCGAACATTTAATAGCTTGTCTTTTGGGGTTGATGCTTTTTCTTCTTCTTTTTTAAATTTTTTGTTACAAAAAAACTTTTTTTCCCCTTTTATATTTTTCTAAATTCTCAAATAGCAAGACTGAAATGAACACAGATTGTTTTTCAGCTGTGCACTGTAAAAAAAAAAAAAAAGTAGATTTTGCAGTCCCCAAAGGTTTCTTTTTGTCCAAGATTTGGCACGCAAATAGTAATGTAACCTCCAATAACATTATATTAGACAGATTGGCTCTATAGGGCAATCATCTGCACTTGACAGTATTATCATAAGTCGTGTATAAATATTAGACTTTGAGAAGTGATGTTTATGATTCCCCTTTGAGCTTATAAAGCTATTTAAATGCTACTCACTATAACAGTTTAATTTTTTTAAATCATCAATAACTTTTGCTGGTGCTCTAAACTGCAAGCGCTTTAGTACCGATTGAACCAGTGTTATTTTTTATTTTCAGCTATGCATTATGTATATTTTATAGCTGCCAGGGGTACTGAGAACACCTGAATGTTAATTGAGCTAATTTGTTAATCACTTTTTACCTCTCTTTATGTTAAGCTCACTGTCTTAAGTTCTTTACCATTGTTGTATATTGTATGCATGAAGCAGATTGGACTCTTGTTGATCCTTTTGACATATTTCAAGCTGATTAATATTAAATGCCAAAAAGCAGTCAGCTTGCCACACTGTATCAAAACCGATACTGCCTCTGAGCTTGAGTCCTTCCTGCTATTTGCATTTTAAAACAACTTATCATAGAATAAATTTGTATACTAAAAGCCCTGACTTTGATTAGGGTATTGCAGAATGCTGAAACATTTTTCTTGTATATGGCAGTAATATGTAGATATGTATAGATTGTTGTACTTCTGTAAGTCTTACAACATCCATAGCTTATTTTTCACTTTTTTTGTTTGCTGCAGTAAGACATCAAAAAGATGCATGCTGATGGTAGTCATTTGCAAAAAATACCACAGCATTTTTTTTTTGGAGAGAGAGATGGAAAATTGTAGAAATGGAAATAATTTATGGACACTCCCATTTAAACCCATTTGTTCATCTCTTTGTTCAGTAGACTGAAGAGTTTCATTGTTCACCGTGATTCTTACACCTGATACTTAACGGCTGCTATTAGTAATGTGAAGAGTCTATTTTCTATTGAATGCACTGCTGTTGCAATTATAAGTTGAGTTGAAAGTCTTGTGCATCTACATAGTTAATACATAGAGAAGTACTTGTTAGTAGCATGTTTGGAGCTGCGAATACAGACGCTGATTGAAGTGGATCCATAGATGCCATTATTCCTTGACCGGGATTAGAAAGCACTACAAAGAGTTGTTTTCAGTATCTGTACAGCCAGCAGAGAACTTTATCATGCTCAACATACGACAAATGTAGTACTTGGTGCTCACATAAAAAGTTTTTATTTTCATACTTTCAACTGTCTCTGCTCCTACTATTATGTTTTAGTACTTTTTATGAATGATACAGTGAATTTCAGCTTTGCTGAAGAATTTCTGAGTTGGCTGAAGTACATTGACAGTAATTGTACCCCCAAATATTTGCATAGTTTGATTTTAAAGACATTTACATTTACATGTCTAAAACTAAAATAACAGACTAAAATAACAGAATGTACAGGTTGTTTTGACCTATAGAAGTAAACATTTTACATCTTAAAAATATTGAGAGAAGTTTGGTAAATTGTCCTCTGTGGATTCGGGTGTGTGTTTTTTATATATTTAATTTAGAAATGTAAAAGAATTATTAAATAAAGGTTTTCACATTCAACCATGGAGGGGGGAGAACTCAGTGGTAAAAATCTGTGAATAAAACCAACAAATCCTATAAATGTATTTCCATATATACAGACAATCATTACATTTAATTACAGAATTATTCAGATATCTCTATTGTTTATATGTACATATAATTCTATTGCTTTTTGTTTGGTTTTTCATTATTTTGTATTTTTGTTGTACTTTATTACTTGGTGTAAAAAGCTCCAGAAATAAAAGCTCTGGAAACAAATGTGTGCTTATTTGAAAATAACATGACATCCCTCTCCACTATTTTAAATCGAAGAAAAAAAAAAAAAGACAGATGGTGGTTGTGACTAAAAATAACACAAGCTTTCAACAATGAGTAAATATTTGAATCATTCAAATCCACAATACTCCTAGTGATCCATTTTGTTCAGACCTGTAGAATATGCTGGCACTCAGATCAGTGATTTTCTCTGACTCCAGAACACATAATGAAATGGAAGAGGAAATTCATAAACTCTGTTCATGATGGTCAGAAGAGGGGCTGGCAGAGTAAATGACAGACGGACTGAAGAATAAGAAGGCAGAGTTCTGCATTTTAATGTAAGTACAGAGCACCTGAATAATGAAACAACCAATCACAATCTGTATGTACAATAAAACTAATTTATTTAGTTGGTTTGGTTTGCTATATGACATTATGAACTCTTACACTGAGAAAAAAAAAAGAGTCAGGCAACTGATTTCTGCAAATAGAGTGATTGAATGAACTGGACAGACTGGACCACAGTCACTCTGGTCCACCACGCTGAAAGAAAGAAAGAAAAGATGCTATTGTCAGTGGTTTGTCCATGTCCATTTTTAGTGTAAACATCACATTAGTCTAAATTTCTTTTTAGCTTCAGAACAGTTACACAGTATTTAATTAACAAAATATTCTTTACTTTCTTGATTTGTAAAAACGTGAACATTAACCTGAATGTAGTCCATTTCATCTAACGCAAGGGTTCTTCTGCGGTATTTCTGAGGGAGATCTCTAACTACATCAAGGCTGTCAGGGGTGCCAGGCAGTCGGCTGATGGGTCCCGGTGGTTTGGGTGGAGGTGATACTGATGTTGTAGGAGGAGGTGCAGATGGGGAGATCTGTGGGAGACAGGCTGCAAGCACATTCAGTGCCTCTTGCACTGGAAATACAGCACATGGAAAATATGTTACCAACAAAGTAGTGGTGAGCCAGCTTTAGAGTTTGCTACCATGATTTAAATACTAAATATCCATCTGAATGAATGAATGATATTCATAAATATCCATCTGCCACAATCGTTAAAAAAATTATTGTTTGTTTGGAGTCTTAAATTTACTATGCTTGCTATTAAAAGCATTTTGGAGACTGCAGAGTGAAGCATCTCATGTATTACACAAATAAAAATTATACTAAACTAAACTCAATGACAAAATTTAGGCAACATATGGGCTTGTTACTGACCATTTGGCCTAGGGATGCCATTCCGATCTGGAAATTTAATTAAAGGTGCATGAGGTCGCACAACCTGCAAATGAATAAATCTAATGAGAACAGTAAAACAAAACGGTTGTGCATAAGTGACTTGTCTACAGCAGGGCTTCTGGAGGTTTTAAGAAAGTAAATGTAAGAATTTACACCTTTATTTAAGACCTTTTTAAAGGCCTTTCCTCCCAAAGTATTGTTTTCTGTCAATTTGATCAAAATAAAGTGAGTTTACAATTAAATCAAGAACAAATATCTGCTAGTGGGCTCAGGAAAAAAAAACATTCAAAGAAAAAAACTGTTTTCACACCCCACTGACAGATATTTGCTCTCGTTTTAATCATAAACTCACTTCATTATGCTCAGTTTATCAGAAAACCAGATTTTATATCTTTATTTTGCATCTCAAGTAAATGTATCCTGATTTAAGGACATTTGGATATTTCTATCAGAAACCTGCATGACTATGAATTTAAGACTTTCTGCTCTGATTTAAGACGTTTTAACACTTTAAATTGTGGAAAGCTGAAGTACAACTCGAAGTCTTAATTAACCTGCAGAAACCCTGTATCTGTGCTTCATTCAAGAGACTGAACAAACATGAAAAACGTAGGCATATTCTGAATATTTAGAGATTGCATTTTATTGTACATAATGCTTAATGTTCTGTTGAGATGACATTGTGGTTTACAGGAAAGAAATAAAGAAATATACAGAGAAGAAACGTGGTTTGCCCACAAGGGCATCTGGCAAACCAGTGAAATCAATGCATTTTGGTGAAGTAAACACACTCAAGATCAAAATTACGAAATACTAAGCAGATAAGTGATCACCGTTTCAACAATGCACCCATATGAACGAGATGTCACAGCAAAACACTAAGTGTACAAGCTGAAGCGAGTGTTTACCTGCACGACCCGACTGGCAGCTGCCATCTTGCTACTCACTTTGCTTCCCATGACGACATCCGATCACTGCTTCCGGTTCAAACACACACAGACAAAACCATAAAGAGTACATTAGCAACCTGAAGAGGGCGCGGTTGTAGTATAACGTAAAGGACAAACGCGGCAAACAAACAGAAGCAAATCGGAAACCGATTTGTTTCCGCAAATCGGTTGTTTTGAACAATTCGTTTAAAAGAACTGGTTCAACAATTATCTCGAATCCTTCAGACCGATTCTACAAACCGACTCAACTGATTCACTGAAAAGACTCGACCTAAAAAAAACGTTTTGATCGCTTCTGCTTTTAGACTTGGCAACCAGGCGAGGCCATGTAAGGACTATCATAAAGGACAATGAATGTGTACGTGTTGCATTAATTATCTAGAATTAACTACAACCGTTATGTTTACTGATACAGTGCGAGTCTAGAGCAGAGAAGCTGTCACATTACTGAATCATGTGGAATGAACTTGAAACAGGCTGTCAATTCATGCACACATACATGCAAATGTATCTAATTAATGAGCTTTTATATCACACATCAATAATACATTACTGCAGCACAACGCAAAATTAATTTATTATACAATAGCTCATCCTGCTAACATTCATCACAAGTGGTTCTGCCTTTAAAATAATGCTACATTTCAAATCTATAGAGCCACGCTTCTTAATAAGCACAATAAACATACAGTCTTACCGACAAGACGCTATGTAGTATTGTATTATAACCTTATTTTTCCATGTTGACCTCCGAATTTCCGAAACACACAATACACTATGCGTACAGTGGCCTGGCTGTGGCGGCCAATCCTTCATTTCTGCTCATGTTTAGGTTGATGCAGGTGGGCGGGGTTTCGAGGCTCACTCTGGTCACATGACTGTCATGTGACGTCAAGACTTCCTGGCGGCAGTTTCAGACGGGGTTGAAGTCGCGCTGCTCGGAATCGTGCAATAAAAAAAGGGAATATTAGTAAACAAAAGCCGCAACAGAAAGAACAAGAAGCGACGGTAAGTGAAACAAGATGTTTAAATACGCTCACTTGGCGAGTGTATTTATTTTTTTTATTTTTTTATATCCTTATCCGGTAATTATAATACGGGGTCCATACGGGGTTTGGAAAAGTATGGATTTTGATTTAAGTATTTTACAGGTCTGGAAAAGTATGGAAAAAAGAAAGCAAAGTGTGGAAAAATATTTGTGTTTCCAGACTTTTGCCCCTATTTAGTTTTTTATAATAGAAAACTAAGAATTTAATGAAAATAAATGTACTGTACAAGCAGTGAGTTTTCATGGCAGCTGTTAAGTGATTCTTTAGTGATTGTCAAATACCACTGAATTAATTCACAGTGCACTTTTCATTATGCAAAATGCAGGTTATAATCATATTAGGTTTCTTCTCATGATATTCTTAGCACCGTACATAGCCAAAAGGACCTTTGCAAAAATAAAAAATATACTGACATTTATGTGCGCACAAGAAACCATTAAACTTAGCATTTAGGACAATACACACTGAGGCTCCTATTGTGCCATCAGCCCATTTCACAGTGTGTTTTTTTTGGCCTACACAAAGTATGCGTTAAAGAGACATAAGGCCTTGAAACATGGCATACTGCCCTAACGAACACTTTTTTTTTTTTTTACAGTACCAGTCTTTTTTATAGACCCATGAACTTGGCAAATTTTATGCCATCAGCCCATTTCGTGTCATGGTTTCTCCGCCGCCACAGAGGATGTGTTCAATTAGACATTAGGCCTTTATATTAGAGGTACTACCATAAGAAAAGCCAAATTTTGAGCAAGTAGATCTCTGTTAATTCATATGCATACATTCTCTCGTTTTATTCATAGTAAGATGGCAGTGATGCACAAAGGAAATAGGTTATATAAAACTAGAAATTGTAATACGTAAGCATGCAATAAATTCCCATGCATACTGTATGTGAAGAATTTCTAGAGGGCACAAAAAGTTTCTTGTGTGCATGTGTAACGGAGGCCAGCGAGTAAGTGCTGTGCAGGTAAACCTCACTCCCCTGATCTCAAGAGACGCACTAGCGACTGACGCTAGTGGCTGCTGTCTTTAGCCTCCTTGTTAGTGCGTCTGCCTCCCATGCCGGAGACCCACTCGGAACGAGAACGAGGTGTGGCGGTGAGGACCCGGGAGAGAGGGGTTACACATGTAAAAGTCTGTTTTTTTTTTTTATTATTTTTTATTTTTATTTTAGGGGCTCTGTATGTTGTCACTTAGAGAAAATCAATGAAAAAAACCTTGAGAAAATAAAAAATATTTACAGATGGCTGTACTATATACAAAATATAAAGTTGAAAATCAGGGCCGTTGCTAGTGGGGTGAAAGGTGGTGACGACTATAGGGGTCCATGGCTGAGGGGGGCCCCCCAGCGATTTCAACCGACTGCCCAAGGCCAGCATAAAAAGACGGCCTGCGCATCATCACGAAAGCTTATCAATTACACATGTTTTAAGTCTTGCCAATTTAAACATTCAAAACAGTTTAAAGCATTCAAACACAAGACGTGGAAAAACTCAACTGAGAGTTCGGAGCACACGGAGAGCCGCGCAAACACCGAACTGAGCTCTTCTGCGCTTCCTCCCGTGCCTGAACGAACAAATACACCTCACCAGTTTAAACACACAAACACAAAACGACATGAAAAGCTTAATTCAGCACCCGCACGCTGTTTTGTGCGCACAGCGCGCACTCAAAGAGCCGCGTCTCACAACCCTTGAACACCGAGTTGAGTTTTGTCTCTTCTTGCTCTTGAAACGTCAAATACGTACAACATTGTCACAATACCTGTCTTTGCGAGCATCCTCGAAAAAATTGTCGGTTATGTCTTAAGTGAAAGTAAACAGTTGAGAAAGAAATCGAATGTGTACCATTATATTGGATGTATTGTCTCTTAAAGTGACCGCACCTAATTTACTAGCTGCTGTCAGTGTCCATAATGTTAATACAAGAAATTAAATGGGAGAAAATCACTCACTGCTCTTTACTGAATTACCTTGTAGTTTTAACAAGAATTAATCTATATTTAATTTATACAGTGAAGACTATGCAATGCTATTTACATTTGATTATTCAGTTTCTGTACCTGGTCATCTACAAACTTGAAAAATCTTAAACATTGTTTAATTTGTATATTTGTTTATTTGTGCTATTTACACAATTTCAAACAGGGCCCACCGGTACAACCTGCACAGGGGCCCCGCAAACCCCAGCTATGGCCCTGCTGAAAATAATGCTCTATGAACCATTTATGTTAAATATGGTCCGAAAATCTACTGAGAGGTTTGGAAATTTGAGTCTGGAAAAGTATGGAATTTTGAAATGGAAAATGTGTAGGAAGTTAGGAACCCTATTATAAACAACTGGAAAGTCACTGGAATTCATTGGTTATGAGGTGCGAGAACATTGGACCCAATCAAAGCTCATTTGGCACCTATTTTAGAAACTTTAACTCTGTTATATCAATTATGTTGTATAAATTATCTATTTTGTTTCATAAATGTAAAATAAATCTATATACGTTTTATATCTGGGGTCTCTGAAACCTTGAAATTTGAATGGGATTAATGGTGTTTTTATTTCTGCACAGATATACAATGATGAGTCTCAGTCATCATGATGAACCCTCTTCAGATGTTGATCCAGTTGAAATGAACAACAGTCTGCATGATACAACATCAGCTTCTGATGGGGTGACACCCACACGTTTATTAAAGTGATTTCCCATTATTTCATTATTTTGTTTGAATGATTTGTTATCTTCTTGCACCATTGGGCAGAGGACTAATTAACAGTATATAACTACTATATACTGTTATATACTATGTATTGTATTCTATATATATACAATGATAGATAAATAGAACTATACTCAGTCTGTTTCTTGTATGTCTTGTTTTTTCTCTCCTCAAGAATGAAAGAAATAATGGAAAATCAGTGCTTTGAAATGAATGTTAAAGTCAGCATTGGTAAGCTCAAATTTTTATGTGAATAAATACGTGACGTGACGTGACATGTGGCCAAGTATGGTGACCCATACTTTGAATTAGTGCTCTGCATTTAACCCATCCAAAGTGCACACACACAGCAGTGAACACACACACAAACACCGTGAACACGGGGGTTCGGTGCCTTGCTCAAGGGCACTTCAGTCGTGGTATTGAAGGTGGAGAGCGCTGTACATTCACTCCCCCCACCTACAATCCCTGCCGGTACGAGACTCAATCCCACAACCTTTGGGTTACGAGTCCGACTCTCTAACCATTAGGCCACGACTTCCCCTAAAGAACACTTATGCAAATATTAACCACTAATAATTAACCTAATGCTAATTGCAGTGTTTGTTTCTAAGGAAAACATAAAGAGTCATGTGAAGCTGATGCAGACCTGTAAGTGTTTTTGAATTTATGAATGTATCTGTTTATATACTATATGTTCTAAAATAACCTGACATTTATATTATTAACAATCTGTAGGTCCAAGTATGAAAGTGAAATAGAGCAGGCAAGACTCTCATATTTCAACAAAACACTGGTATTGAACAGGTAAAGATGCTGTGGTATCAAGGATTTTTTTTGTTTTTTTGCAATCCAGTGTCCATGTGTCCAAAATTATTCTTTGTTTTTGTGTAGAATGCAGATTTGGAATGCCATCATTGAAAAGATGATTCAGAATGATGCAGATGCTGAGTGAGTGAATCCTAATTGAAATAAATCTTATCTAGGTATTCTGATATTCAGTTGTCCCCAACTTTCATCATACAGGGCATTAAAAGAACTGACCAATCAGAACACTGAGCTATGTGAAAAGACCTTGAAAGTTTTAAAGGTGGGACATTCCCTGCTGTTTTAGAAAAAACATTGTCATTTTTATGAATAATTCAATTTCTAAACACTTTTTTTGGCTATAGAATACTTCATTGCTGATCTTTTTTCCAGGAAACACGAGAGCTTCAGGACCAGATCACAGATGTCCAAACGGAAAGACTTGGTACTTGCTGTTTTAATTACACTTGCTGACTTACATCCAGGCCAAGATGGAATCATGCAGACTTTTTAAAAGCATTTTCTGCTGTGTTTTTATTTTTCATTTGAAAGCTTGTTTGACAGGATGTAACAATTCTGATGGGTAAAATGTTCATTTAAAACTGAAAAAAGAAAGCTGCAATCACATTTTCAGTATGCTGTTTAGTAGAAAATTATCTCATTCGTGTTTTCCTAGACCTAAAAGGACAAATTAAGAAGAAAATGCAGGAGATAAATGAGTTGAAACAGGTGAAGGAAAACCAAGGAGAAGTTCAACAGAGAGCCAAGGAAAGAGCTGAAGCGGTCCTACAGAAATACCAGAAGGTCACCACCATTTTACAAAATGTGCTGCGGGTATGTAGCTTCTCAATGCTTGCTTGTGTACTTATCATTCTAATTCAATCTATCTTGCTGTTTATTTTTTTTTGGAAACACTGCATTTTGAACTGCTGTCATAAAAATCTTACTTTCAGGGAATCATACTGGCCAGTAAAGTCAACTGGAGGGATGATCCTAAATTAAGGGACATTGCAATGGGACTAGAGAACATTCCCAACTAAAGACCTGTATGAACATAGTTCTCCAATGTATGTAATTTACCTGTAAATGTGCTCACTGTTACCATGTTCAGAGTAATGCATATTTAAGCTTTTTATAACGGCTCAGTTGAGAATGTTTTAAAAGCACTCTGAATATAAGATAAATGATATTAGATTAAATAAATTGCGTTTACCAATGAATTTACTTTTTAAAATAAAAAAATTCTGACTGATCCTTCAATAAAGGTTGATATACAACCACATTCACCACCAGCTGTACTTCTGTAATGCCATGCACTTAGGTGAAACAGGATATTCAACAAGTAAAAAGGCCATTCCACACAGAATCAAGCCAGACCTGAATGCTTAAGGGCTAGTTGGCTTTTCGATTAACATTATCTAATAACATTACCTTTTACAAAGTATTTTATTTTCCAGCCACTTTAAGTGAAAAGTTTTAATACAGACATAAAAAAAAATACAGACATGATTTAATAAAGTTCAAGCAGTAGAAAGGATAAATTGTATCATATTTTCACCACCTGTCCTGCAATACATGGGCTCACTCTCTTCCCCTCCACCGGCACAGGGTTTGGCTGAATGAGTAACCTTCCGTAAGTCCCGCCCACCTGTCCTTTAGTGAGACGGCCAGGATTGACACACACACAGCCAATCACATCCTGAGAAATAATGGAAAATTAATTTTCCAGTCAGAATTGAAATAACCTTTTATTTGACATGGTATATAAATAAACATATCTGAAAATGTGAGTGATTTACCTTGATGAAATACCGAAGTTCAGAAGGAACAATAAGAATATCAGGTGTGAGGTTCATTTGGCTGAATTGTTGAAACTTGTCATAATCCATGTTAACTTCCTCCGCAGGAGGATAGAGAGGATAATAGCTAAAAGAACAATGAAATGAAATCTCAGGAGCAGCAGAGAAGAGCACAGACAAACAACATTTTACTACTAATTAAACCTGAGGTAATTTCATTTGAAAGATGAGAAATTAATGCGTTCTACAAACCTCCTCTGGGTCAACATGTGTTTCATGATCCGTGTGAAACGTTCTGTGCCCGTGCCACTACAAAAACCATAATTATACCATAAATCAGTGCTTGTGCTCACTCATTGCTCTGAAGAAGTTATTCTTTTTAAATCCACTTAATGTTAATGAAATAATGTAAGTTCACATTTTAGTTGTAGGTTGTTTTCATGCTAGAATTACTAGTTGGTTCAGTATTATTACCAGCTGATCTCTTCTGCTCCCATATGAAACAAAATGTCTGTAGAGGTCAGGCCAAATGTCACATTACTGATGAGGAGCGTGCAGGGGTCAGAAGCTAAGGTCACTCGCTAGGGGTGGAAAATGTATATTGGACAACAAGAGTAGAAATAGAAACGGTTTAATTATTGAGGTAAAGCATTAAGACTTATTAAATAAAGCCATGTCTTTCTAATTAAGTTTGCCCCGAATCACATAAATGATAAAATATTAATCACCAGCATTTAAAAATAAAGAGGACGGCCAGTTACATTCAAAGCATGTAGCTAATCATCTCACCGCTGAATCATCTTTGCTGAGGCTGCTCAGGTTGAAGGGTGGCTGAGGATAAATGTAATGATGATGGACATCCCTCTGAGACGGCACAAACACCAACCTGCATCCCGACCTATAATAAAAGAATGCGTGCAATGAAAACACACAGTTGTACATTGTGAGCACTTTCTATAAAGATGTGAAGAAAAAAAAAAATACAAACCCTTTGGTTCCTTCCACTATGCTATCCACACATCTCTTGAAGATGGTTTCAAATGTTTCCGTTACCTGGTTTTTCTGTTAAAAACACATCAAGTGGTTAAATTTGTGGCCATTATGAAAAATGTTAATATAGGAATTTCAAATACATACGAAATCTGGATCACCTCAATCTGCTCATGTTTGGAATCAACAAAAGGCCCAAGCTGTAAGAGAAATAGTTAATTACTAGTCAAGATTCCACAGATTTAAATACATTTAATTAAAATGTCCATAAAAGCAGTCACACTGTTACATGAATTAGGTTGTCACAATTGTAGATTGTTGGACTAAAACACAACAGAAATGTGTCTAAAGCTGTACCCACCAGAATGCACACATCAGGCCGATCTTTATTGATGATAGTAATGAGGTCAATCAGAGGGTCATAGGTCAGACTTTCAGAGGGGGTGTACGGTCCACAAGCCATCACAACCATCACAGGCTCAGACACTGAAAAAGTGTGTTATGAAGGGTATACTGTGAGTATTGATCTCAACAGTGATGTTCTTGATATATATTTTTACTAATCTTACCTTCATCCATTTCTTGTTTCACTTCAGGACAGTGAAAAGGCAGGGGAATACCCTGGTGGAGAAACAAATCACAGAATAAATATCATAACTCATTATTCAACAAATTCTAACCTATTCCAAACAGATTTAAACTAAAAAGAGTCATATGCGAGAGATACCTCATATAATTTGGTAGCAACAAACGTCTCCCCAGAGGGATTCATACCTTCCATGACAACAACCTACAAAAGAGAGTAAGAGAACATTGCTAATATAGATAATAATTTATGCCAAACACATTGCATGATTAGAGATGGGGGAAAAATACTTTTTCCAATACATGCTCTTTCTCAAATGAAAAATAATAAATTTTAGGTTCATTATTAATAATTCTGGTTCATGCAATTATATGCAATATAATATCACTTAGTAATAAGATGAAGATGAAAACAAATATATAAGAAAAAAAATGCATCAAATTGTAGGCATGTATCTCACCTGTCCAGGAAAAAGTGAGAACTCTTTGAGCTCAGACAGATCCACAGGCACCTGTCTGCCCCCCTGTTCCTGTCCGGCCTCCAGCAGCACAGATTGGGCATTGAGCTTCCCGTTACTGTCACAACACACTTGGCCCAGCACTGTGATGCTATTCTGCAAGAGAGAAAGAAAATGAGATCACAGTTAGTTAAAATGGATACACACACACTGCAGAATTAACTTTTGCAGATAAATATTTTCCTTTTTATCACTTTGAGAATAGAATTCTTTAGCCTCTTTTCCTTATTTAGTCATGATGATGTCTGTGCTTGTACCTGAACAGGTAATGAAACTGCAGAGAATTCCTCTATGTTAAAATGACTCCGGAGTTCTTCTCCAAGTTCTTCAATCTTTTCAGTCAGAACTATAGATGAGATAGAGAACATCTATAAATATCTAAAAAAGACAATCTGTATGTTTCATGCAACACACACACAAATCTACATCCTGCCATGCAGGTTAGAACGGTTTCAGTAATCGTGGAAGAATCCACATCCAACATAATGCACATTTAAAAAAGAACAATGCTTTGTCAATGAGAACATGGCCTCACCGTCCCGCACGTCTCTCAGTCTCTGGAACATGTATTTGTAGCTGCTGATGAGTGAATTCTCTCCTCCTTCCAGCATCTCGACCCTCACAGAGCTCTGTCCTTTACCCGTCCAGCGAGGACCCTGCACCGTCCCAAACGACGAAACCACCTCTCCTCGCCCACCACGCATGCCGTATTTTTGAGAAGGAGTTGCACTACACAAACACATAACACAACTTTATATTTATAGAATACATTTTTTATATCATCTGGAAGTTAAAAGACATCAGATTCCGGTTACCATGCTAATTTCCACAGTGTCTTTAAGGTAATTATTGGTCGATCAAGTTATGGTTGTGTTGGTGATTTTGTAAATAGTTCTGTTGCCTCATAAAGGTCTCACATATTCAAATCTGAATAAATGTTTGGTGATTTCATTACCTTGGCGAAAAGCTGGCAGGTGACAGCAACAGACTGGGACTGGGGAGTCGGGCCACACCTCTCTTGGACTGAGGATGTTCTGGGGTGGTCAGCGCTCGCTTCTGAGAGCCCTGCAGTCACAAAGAGATAGGAATACATTTACATTTGTGCTTTTTGCCAATCCGGTTTCAAAGAAAGCAAATGTCAATAAACTGGAAATTACAGCAGTTGAGCAGACCAAATAAACAATTTGGGTTTACTTTTAAGAGCTGAGCTATACAAGATTTTCTCATTTGGAATCAGTAATGCATTTTTATCTGTCCATCTATATTTCCATCAAGTGTCCCCTATTAATCTGTCTCCAATTTTTCTTACTTTGGCAGGTGTTGAATAGGAATCCAGCATGCTCTCCTCTTCCTCTTCTGCGCGGATTCTTTGAGACTCTGTTAAAGAATCTATTTTGATAATTTATAGTGAAAAAAAATGATTACATCAAATTAAACCCAGTGATGGTTTGAGTGATAAGGATACAGTTCCTGAATAGAATTGATGTCTCTTGTCTTGTTAAACTGGCTTCCCTTTGATGAGCCTTTAGGCTTTTTCTTCTTGTTCAGTATCTGTAAGGAGCACATAAGCAGTATACAAATCAAGAAGGGAAACATAGGGGATCTTATTTATTAAGGCATCTCAGGAGATCTCAGAATAACTATGTTGCAGTTATCATGTTTTGCACACTTGTACTAACTTCATGTTCAAACTGGTCCAGGTTATCAAGAGTGAGCGGCAGCTGGTCTTTACTGGAGCTGAAAGCAAACCACTCAAATACGATCTCATCCCCCTTCAGCCTGCGACACAAACACTGCTCCAACACTACAAGAGACAATTATTACAGTATATCACCATCATAAGAGTGTAATGTGTGTGTATATATATATATATATATATATATAT